TCAATGCATGTTCATGAATGTCATTCACTTAGTATATGTGATTCATTATGTAATTATCAATAGATTTCCTAAAATGCCCTTATAGTCAATATTCCATAGATTCATACAAAGATCATTGAAGCCTTCATGCTTTTGAATCCAAATCATTCAAAAAGTATCTATTCATGACTATTAACTTCCTTTGCTCATCAAATACTTCAACTACAAAGGATTTTTAAGTCCCCAAATTCGCTTGACATATCAATCTGATCCACTTGATGGTGCGGAATCCCAATCAAGTGGATGATGCAAGATAGAATGGAGAAGAAAAAGAAGAAGAACTAGATGAATCTTCAATGTATTCAATGATTTGAATGATGATCCGTTACAAAAGATTCACACACATACACACACATACACACACACACACACACTTCTTCTATCTAATTTCTCTCTCTAGAACATATGAATGATGCTTCTTGCTCCTTTGACCGAAAACTTCCTCTCTTACAAGTGCTCTAGTGTCTCACCTAAACACTCCCCTAATGACTGTTTATACATATGGACCGAAAACCCAAGGCCACAACTCAACGGCTAGACCGAAAACACATGAGATTTCGGTCCAAGCTACACTTAAACCCAAGAGGGTTTTCGATCCTAGACAGAAAAATACAAATGCTTAGAAAATAAAAGTATAAACCATATTTTAGACCCAACAGTCTCCCTTTGGTTTATAGCTTTCTTTTCTTCTCAATCTTTAATATGAGCTTGGCTTTAGCGTTTATCTTCGATTTCTTCACAACTTCAAGATGAACATATGAATCTTCTATGTGAATGACTTCATCTTACACATTTGGAATTTTCTTCAAGAATTTGACTCTGAACGCACATTGGGTGAGGAGGCTTCTTGTAAAGATTCTTGAAAATCAGCACTTTCAGCTTGAGAATCTTCGGAGAGAATAACAGAGAGACCAATTCTTCGGGATCACTTCAGTAGGTTCATAGATAACAACAAATTGATTGAGGAGACTTCAATGCAATCTATCATATAATCTTCAAATACAGCTTCAACTTGCTTCTGGGGTTGAAAGATTGAATGTTGAAAGAATAATCTTCATTTCTTGTTCATTCGAATGAATATTCTTCGATAATCATGGATGAAGCCTTGGCTCAGAAAAATCTCGATATAGTCTCCATGAGTCTCATCTACATGTGAATTTACTTTTCAAGACAAAGAAAATTTTGAGATAAAAAGAAAACTAAAAGAAAACATGGCACACAATATTTTTGGATTTTTAATATTTTCTGAAAAAATAACACAGAAACAAAAATATTTTTGGATTTTGGAATAGCAATATTTTTGGATTTTTAATTTTTTTTAATTTTTGTTTGATTTTTTTAAAAAAATTTTAATTCTCCCTTAAATTTGTGCATAGAGGAAAACTATGAACAAATTTAACAAAAACAAAAATAATTGGGATCCAAGTTGTCAAGCAATTCGATATCGTTTATCAGCACACACATGCATGTCTAGACCTAGTAAATCACCAGTATTATCGTCCACTTAAACACAAATGATATTTTTGACAAATTGGATAGATAAGAAGTGACAAGTCATTGTGAGTTGTATTCCTAAATGAACCATTTGGCTGATGACGACCAAGGATATTGTTGTCCACTTAAATTCAGCAGCGAGATCTACATATAACCTTTAAAGTGGTTCAAGTTTAGATGCACTAGAACGTGGTTCCCACTTCCCAACATACCCTGGTAATCAAGAACTTCCAAATAACTCCTTACTTTAGGTGAGTATTCAATCATTAAGATAGAAGATAGATATAGAAATGCATATGTTGTATCCTAGGTTGGATGTGTTCTAATCACGCAGGAGGAACGACATATAACTAACATAGATAGAGGGTTAGAGAGATAGTAGGGTGCATATGTTGTGTCCCAAGTCGGATCTTTCGATCACGCAGAGGGGACAACATATAGCTAACAGACAGAACGAATTGCATAGATAAGGAGATGCATAGAAATAGAGTTGTATATGTTGCATTCCAGGTCGGATATGTTCCAATCGCGTAAAGGAGGCAACATATGACTGACAGATTAGAAAGCAAGAAAATAATTTCCTATAGACCTACTTAATCAGAACCCCCCCACCCCCCAGTCACCCTATCAGTACAAGAATTAAGGACATAAGTCCGTACATTGAAGAAATGTTGAGCCACAGTTCTAGATAGTTAACTTTAATGTATCTCGCAGGTTCCCATGTTTATCTTACTGCTCAATCTACCCTGGCATCGTATGGTCAATCTAAATGAAACTATCGAAGTCCACACTTTCAATACCTTTCATTATCAAACTATGTCTAGTCCTTTTGAATCCTTCGTGCCTACCAGCGTATTGAGCACAGAGTCTAAACAATTTAGTTTCAGTGCATTACATGCATCATAAATTGCCCTTTAGCACTAGACTTCATATCACTTCCCAAACAATACCTACAAACGAAAAACTATAAGAAAATAAAATATTGTCTTCAAAACTAATCATTTTAAGAAAATTGCTCTGATACCAATTGTAAGTCCCTAAATTCGATTGACGTATCAATCCGATCCACTTGATGATGCGGAATCCCAATCACGTGGATGATGCAAGATAGAATGGAGAAGAAGAAGAAGAACTACATGAATCTTCAATGTATTCAATGATTTGAATGATGATCTATTACACAAAATTCACACACACACACACACACACTTGTTCTTTCTACTTTCTCTCTCTAGAACATATGATTGATGTTCCTTTCTCCTTAGACCGAAAACATCGTCTCTTACTAGTGCTCTAGTGTCTCACTTAAACACTCCCCTAATGACTATTTATACATATGGACTGAAAACCGAATCCCACAACTCAAAGGCTAGACCAAAAACACATGAGATTTCGGTCCAAGCTACAATTAAACCCAAGAGGGTTTTCGGTCCTAGACCGAAAACTACAAATGCTTAAGAAAGCAAAGTATAAACCATATTTTAGACCCAACAGGATTCCCTTGATTTCATCATGTTGTCCCTAAATCCATTTCAATCCAAGCATATACATGATTCTACAATCATGGATGAGTTCAAGCACTACAATTGGATTTATTGTTGTTAAACATCATTTAGATCACAAAATCTAATCTAATTTCATCATCAATTGTAATATCACCAATTTGGGTTTTCTAGAGTTCATGAGGATTTTCACCTAAATCCTCTCCATTAATGGATGATTGGATTAAGATTGGGATCATCAAAACCACTCAAGGGAGGTTAGAAAACTAAACCATAATCATTTTATATGATCTAATTCGACAGTGAGGTTCAAACAACTTCAAAAACTCAATTTCTAAGTTATATAGAGGAGAAATTATACCTAGAAAGCCCTTTTGGTTCTTCTTTCCTTTGCTTGGATGCTCAAATCTTGCCTTGTATCAAACTCTACGAGCCAAGGAGGTGAAAATTGCCATTAGATGTGATCTATAACGAAATTTGAAACCAATCCATAAAGCCTTATAAAATATGCCCTTCGATACTTATTAACAAGTATTCGATTGTACTTCACGGGAAACTACACAAGTTGTTGATTATCTCTCTTGATAATTAGCGAATCGATCTTTGCTTGGGATCTAACTGCCTTTGTGTCGAAATTTTATTTTCGACATCAGATGAATCAAATTTTTTTATTTGTTTCTCATATTTTTATTTGGCACACATTGTACTTATGAAATCCTTAAGGTTCTGAGTAATACCAACTCAGGCTGATGATTTCGCAAGTCTGGCACATGACTTCGCTTTCTAAACCCGAAAGTGAAATAGCCCAACCTCCATGCCAAAGATTTTTGATACTTATCCACAGGGTAATTTTGAAACAACGTTTAGTGTGACAGTTTAGTTACTATGCTATTTTCTAGGGAAAAGTGCTCATCACTTTATCCTGACATGGCGTGCTTTATGGCTATGGGTACAACTTTCAAGGCACACATGGAATGCTATTAATTCTAAGCGTTTGGTATTCAAATTGTGATTACATATAAAAGGGGATTGAGGATTTAATTCCAACTTTACGCTCACAAATTATTCTGAAAAGATTTGTGATTTTGTTCTCTTAGTTCTTTCAAGTTCTTTCCAAAAACCCTAACCATGGCTGCTCATCAATCACAAACCACTGACGATGTCTCGTCTCAACTTTTAATGAAGATTCAAAGCACAAATTACCAAGTTCAAGGCGATGAAAGTTTTTATCCAGAGGAATTATAGATGCTCATAGTGGCACTCAATAGTTTTTTTTTGTCTACTACCATGTTCAACTCGTTTGCTGTTCCTATGTCTTGGTTATCTTTGGCTGGTTCTACTACAACATACAGCAAAACCATGGTGATTGTTAATTTCCAATTGACGAATGACAAGAAGTTTAGTCTGTTAAAGAAGTTGTTCGCCCAAATTGTGAACATTCCCAATTTTGAACCGTTTTACAAAGTTACTAATGAACAAGTGATTCACATGTTTAATGAGGTGGGTTATCAACCTACTCTCACCAAGATTAGTGAGTTCAAGAAATCAAGGTTGGCGTGTATTTGGAACTTTCTCTTTGGAATCTATCTTTGATGCTTGATAAGTCGAAGTGTGGGACTAGATAAAGATCAGTTGGAAGTATACACAATGGTGGCTGCCATTTATTATGACCCACAAGTAGATTATGCTACTCAACTGTGGGATAAATTTTTTAAAGGTATTGGGATTACTAATGCCAAGGATGGGATTTCATGTGCTAGGTACTGGAATCTTATTCTTCAGTTCGTGTATGATAAAGAGGGTATTCTAGTCCCTAAGAACGAAGAAACTGTTGGGTTTGCTATGTATCAGTTTCCTAAAACTGTTGAAGATGATGATGAAGTTTTTCCAAGTGTTGCTAGAATTCCAGATGCAATGCTTCGAAAGGTTAATCCTATGAATTTTATCTTGGTGAATTACTTAACGATGATTGATCCGGATATTGAAAGTGGGGTGTTGTTCACAAAGACAACTGAAGGTCCTTCCAAGAAGCACAAAGGATCTAAGAAGGAAGCTCTGCCAAGTCCTTTGAAAGTTAGTATGGTTGCAAAAGAGGTGAAATCTCTAAATAAGGTTGCTGTTAAAGTAAAAGCTTCGAAGAAAAGCTCGTTGCCAGTTGTTACTGAAATAGTTAATCCTTCGAAGGATGTAGTACCTTCTAAGACTGGTACTCTAAAAAGACTCAAGAAAATGGCTCATAAACCTCATCATTCTCCTAAACGGTCTGGAAGTTTTTCACCATCCTTTGTCAGAAAGCCACAAATTGGTTGAAAGGGTGTTCTCATTCGTGAAATGCCCATACCAGTTTCTCCACAAATGAATAAAAGACAAGTAGAAGATATGGCTAAGAAGATCTTAAAGAAACAAAGGAAGCAGAGGAAATTAATCATTCAAGATGATTTAATGGATGATGAGGTTGTACCAGAATCTCCATTGAGACATGATCAGATGGGACCTTCTTCACATATGAGGGATTCTCTAGTTAAGTTGAATCTCGAGGAGACTGGAAATTTTGATGGCACTGTGAAAACTTCTATAGTGGAGATAACCATAAATCAAGGTGAACAACCACATATTTCTACTCCTAAGCCGACAACAATCATACCACCTGAGGTTTCGAATACCGAATCATTTCATGAGGAGCTTCGAACCTCAGGCATCACAGCAAACGTATCTGATACGGATGCAAATGTCACTAAGGGTGATGGAGTATCGACAACTACAACCCAATGTACTTCGTCTATAATTGTTTCCTCTACTTTCTAAACTTCAGGTGTTGATCTAATTGTTTCCTTACCTCTATTTCATATTACCATTTCTACTACATTACCAACAACCACTCATTCACCTACTTTTGATACCATTTTGCAACAAACCATTACATCCTTATTTCCATCACAATCCACTGAAGAACCCATAACAGTTCCTGATGATGAAACCGATAATGAAGGGTTCGTAGGTTCATTTGCTGATATTGAGTTTGATCTTGAAGAAAAGAATATTCCTGACCAAATGCTAATGTCTGAGAAGCATATTTAGAAATTAATACCAAAAGTTTACAAAAGCAATTATTGATAGTAATTTACAATAATCAAAAGCATCTTGTTGATGTGAAATGATGCCAACAAGATCAAGGAGGTAAAATACAACTTGAAAAAATAGTTTAACATCAAAGACTTTGGCTTACTCAAATAGTATATAGGAATTAAGTTCGCATGATGTCCATAAAGTTTTTGTGATCAACTAGAGAAAATATACACTAATTATACTTAAATATGCCAATGTGCAGATATGTCAACCTAACGCATTTCCAATGGATCATAATATTCTCTTTTAGATAGAAAATGAAAATCCTGCAGTTGATGCATCAATGTATATTGTCTTGGTAGGCCGATTACTGTACCTCATAGTAAATTGACTTGATATATCGTATAATGTTAATTAGCTCAGTCAATTCCTTAGCAAATCCTGTTAATGTCACTTGGATGTTGCTTTCATAGTTCTTTGGTATTTGAACACCACTCCAGGTCAAGTTGATTGATTTGTTTTTCCTCGGTGAGGTCATAAATGATCAATTTCATTTGCCTTGGGTGCTCACCGATGTCTTGGAAGACAAAGAAGCAAAACTTGATCTTCAAGGCATTGTTGGTAATTTAGTGTCACCACATCATTTGAGTATAATAGAATTCACAAGATTACAATGCAGTTCAAGTTTTGATATTGAAAAAGTTAGAAAATGCGAAATACACACTTGTTTAAAACGAGTTTGTTCTCAGTACGATCATAAAGGCAGAATGTAACGCTCATAAATTCGGGCTAGACATTTAGAGTATAATAATAATAATAATAATAATAATAATAATAATAATAATAATAATAATAATAATAATAATAATAATAATAATCGTTGATTAGAGTAATTCTGTGACATCTCCCTCTTGCACGTATCACAATATTGTCTATTTTAGTCTCCCGACATGAAAACTTCCCAGAGGGCACCCATCCTTCAATTGCTCTCGCCAAGGCACGCTTAACTACATAGTTCTTATGGGATCTGCTACCCTTACGTATTTAAAACACATTGTGTCAGAGAATTTATCCACACCCCTTTTAAGGAATGCTTAGTTTTACTTCCCAATCGATGTGGGATCAGGTGTAGCTAACCTGCCCAACTTCACACCCATTATAGGTTTCAACGTCCCCGTCGAACATATCTATTGGAAAATTGGTGTTAACTAATTTATAAAAATGGGTTTTCCCTATTTTTTAACACGTCCAAAATGGATTTAATATGAATGATAAATTAATCCTTAAAGTAAGGGTGTTGGAAGATATAAATAAAAGAGTTTAATGGGTGGGAGAAAGAAAAGAAAAGTTCAGAAAAGAAAAGTTCAGAGACCTTTCTTGCAATTTTCTTGCAAGTATATTTTTTTTCTTTCGTAACTGAAATTGTAATTAATATTACAATCTAATTACATATTAACACACATTAATCTTTATTATTAATAGATCTTTATGATTAATAGATGTTCAAATGGGAAGTTATAGAATGTGTAGTATAAATATCACTACTCTACAACCATTTGAAGACACCAAAAAAGAATGCAAGAAAACTCTCTTCTTCCCCACTTCATCTTCATCTTTTTTCTTTCTAGCTATATTGAGGATATAATCCAGGCATTTTAAGGGTTCGGGTGGTCTAAAAGAACCACTTCAAACTGTTGTTTCATGGGGAACAAACACATGATACCGAACGAATTTGTTTTAAGGACAATGTGTTAAAAAAATGCCTCATTTTTTCTATTTTCTTGTTTGTTTTCGTATATTACTAGAATATTATTCCTACAATCTTAAAACAAAATTCGTTTGTACGAATCGAACTAGAAATCGGAAACAATTTTACTTACATTATTTTGATATTGTACGATTTTCATAAGGAAAAATGGATTTTTTTTTTGTGATTTTGAAGCACCTTTGGTCATTACCTCATTAAGACATGTATTTTGTTTTAAGTATCAGATTTTCCAGTTTCGGCACTGATTCTATTAAGTACCTAATGGGTTAAGAGCTAGCTTAACTCAAAAACACAATTTACGTGTTGCTGTGAAATGCTCTAATCTGTCCCAATATTTGAAAAATCATAACTTAATATGCTCATTTTTGGTTGAAACAAATTCTCAAAGTTTGGTATATGAGTCTACTTCGTTTCATTAATTTTAGCCGAAAGCTTGAAACAACTCCAACTAGGGTGAAAAATATGATTTTCACTGACTGGTTAGATTGTAATACCTTTGATACATAGTTTTGTAAAATTCATAATAAATTGTAGAAAAATCATATGAACTTGTGAAAATAGTCTCTAGAAAGCTAAGAGACAGGACTATTGGATTATGAACTTAGATTTCATTTTTGACAAGTTTAAGTGGGGCTAAAGAAGTCTTGAACAGATTATATTATTTTATGAAAAACAAAATGACTTTATTTAGTAAAAAACGACTTCAATTTTATGTAAAACAACTTTGGAAATCGGAAAAAAGTTTGGTTTTACTTAAAACCATGGCATTCAACATCGTGTTTCCTACCCCTACACTCAGGAATAAAACGGATCTGTCGAGCGACAACACCACATAATTGTAGAAAAGGGACTCACTCTCCTTGCCCAATCATCCATTCCTCAACAATTTTGGTAGCATGCGTTTAAAACCACCACCTTTCTTCATAACCTCACTATAACACCTGTCCTTAACTATACTTCTCCTTATTAGAAAGTTTATCAATAAGCTCCTGACTACACTTTTCTCAAAACATTTGGCTGCATGCGCTACCCTTTCTTACGACCTTACAACACTCATAAAACTGACTTTTGTTCACTCCCATGTATCTTCAAAGGGGACAACACTACACATAAAGGTTACCTATGTTTTCACCATCCTTCTTCCAAAATTTATGTCTCTCATTATGTAGTCTTCAGTGAAGACATATTCCCTTACTTATCCTCTCAATCTAACTCAAACTCTCCAGTTCCTCCATCTAACCAAAATGACACATCCTAGCTACTTACTCAAGCTGATTCCCTTTCCTCTTCGCTTCCCCTCCCCTGGTACTTCTCCTCACTTCCACACACATCACCATTACCCTCTTCTGATCCACCAATAGTTCACAACCCACCCCCATATCCGCTACAAAATCAAACCAATCATCCTTTCCCTACCAACTTACATGTGACTCAAAATCAACCGTTTACTTCTCATTATCGCCCTGCACCACAAAAACACCCATCCCAAGGTCACCCATGCTCGTACAAACTCTTTAAAACCCAAAGCTTTCCAAACCTCTCTTATAACCACCTCTGAAGTTGAACTTCGCCTTTTTTCATAAGCTATTAAACATACTTGCTAGCAGCAAGCCACACAATATGAATATGATGCCCTCATGCAAAATGACACATGGTCTATTGTTTCTTGTCGTACTAATGTCAATAATATTGGTTGTAAGTGGATTTTCAAGATAAAAAGGCATTCTAATGGGTCAATAGAGCGTTACAAAGCTCGATTGGTGGTTCAAGGGTTCACTCAAGAGGCTAACTTGGACTACTTCGATACATTCAACCCTGTCATTAAACTAACAACCATTCGATTGGTTCTCTCCATAGCTCTCTCTCACGACTGGTCTATCAGATAACTTGACATAAATAACCCTTTCCTAAATGGAGATCTAAAAGAAGTCGTGTATATGAAACAGCCACGTGGATTCGAAGATCCAACTCGTCCATACCATGTTTGTCGTCTCAACAAAGCTATCTATGACCTAAAATAGGCTCTAGTCGCAACTCCTGCTGATCCCAACTCCCGAATTACACGCCATGGTGAACCCTTTCACGATCCCACTTTCTTTCGCCAAATTGTGGGCTCTCTTCAATATGTCACCATAACGCGTCCTGATATAGCTTCTGTAGTTAACCGGGTATGTCAATTCATGCACTACCCTACAGTCCAACATTGGCAAGCCACCAAGCACATACTTCGTTATTTAAAGGGTACATGTCATCATTGTCTCCACTTTTCACCCACTAAAGCTAATTTTTTTACTTTCCTACTCGAATGCGGGTTGGGTTTCCAACCAAGACAATAGTCGCTCTCAATATGGATATGCCATTTTTCATGGTTCGAATCTCATCAGTTTGACTTCAAGGAAACAATGCGTTGTGGCCAAATCTAGTACATAAGTAGAATGTCGGTCATTAGCCTACACTATTGCTGAATTATTGTGGC